TGTCGAGTAAGGACGGAAATTGACGAGGCAGGTATTTTTCTAGATAGTATGGCTCGGAAAATGGTGAAAAAAGGGGTTCAAGGCGAAGGGAATTTTCCTCTTGAGAGGCATCTGGCTTATTCGGTCGTAAACAGGAGAAATATGAGTCTTGTATCCGGAAGCAAGTGTAAGCTTTTTTTCACTGACAACGACATAAAGATAAAGACAACGATGATAAAACACCTCTTGTATGTCTGACATTATGCCGACATTCGGCTTTTTCTCTTTGTTTAATACAGAAGTCCAAAATTTTAATCATCACTATTTTGTTCATATCATACACACAGAATTCTCATTCATTTCAAAAAAGTCACACGATAATTACTTTGGGTTAAAATGTTCGAATCATTTTTAAAGTGTTATCAAATCAATAGTATTAATTAACTTAAAAAGATTACAGTATAAAATTTTATCCTTTAAGAAAATGGAACAATGGCGTTGCATGTAATAAAAAAATTCGAAAATGTGTTAACTTCAAAAAATGAATTTTTTTATTTAAAAAAATGTGTGATAACCTTTTAAATTTATAATATTTTCAAACTTTAATTTTAGCCTAATGTTCTTAAGAAATGATTTACATTACGTTCGGGTTATTTTATCTCACGGTGATCATAAACGGGTAAACTATCTCGTACTAAAGTAAACAAGCCAATTTACGGAAAATGCAATCGAGCTGACAACATTTCACAGCAATGCGCCAAAGAGAGATGTAGTTGAGAAAAGCTTTTACAGAAATTATTCCGGCATGTAGATATTAGTATATATAGTCGAAAATACTTTTAATTCCTTTATTACATACCCTGCTGTGTTGCTTAATGTTTCTCATATTTCATAAACTTGTAATGAACATTTTTTTTCGTTAAATCTTACGGGAATATCCAAGCGCGAGAAGGAAGTAATAATAACACACGAGTGTCAAGCGAATCCCGGATCTTCAGCGAAAATTGAGTAATAGAACGATCTTATACAGCGTTTTCACTTTTATTTAATGTTTACATAAGGTCAATGTACGTAAAATTGTTACAAACAACTTTCAGCGACTCTCACCAGCCGCGAAGTCCGTCGCGTTCCCGGTGCATCGATAGTTTTCAAAGTTTCTCCGAATTTCCCAATCTGTCCCTCTTTATCATCCGTACGCCGTTGCTCTCATCTCCTTCCCTTTCTCGGAAACAACGTCTGGCGAGATCCGGTTGTGGCTTATGCAACCGAGCTTTCTACGTGATCGACTGCATGCATGCGCGGTTCTGAACCAGTCCTTGCTCAGAAAGCGGGAGATCGGTTTCGAATCTTTGCTCTTGTTTTCGATGCATCGCGAAAGTATTCGTATTACGTGTACCGGCGTTGAATCTTTCTCTTTCAAGTCACACCGATGCCCTCGGGATTTTACAAACAGTGGTTATCATTAAGGTTGTGTGGCGATTTGGCACGTTGGCACTGATTTTAACTTAATTTCATTTTTCATCGAGATTTACATAGATTATATAGATAACCAAAAAAGCTTGAACATTTACCTATAGAATTGAGAAATAATATCGTTATTATATTTATGATCTTCTTCATAGAAGTTCTAAAGAAAGAAGGGATCATATGTATTTTTATAAAAAAGAATTTTTCTGGTGCCATGTATATTTCATATCTCTTATATAAAGTAATAATATTGTAGAAACTTGCGAAATATAGCAATTTCAATTGACTACGAGTAGTCGAGGTATATGTGTAATATGGATCAAGCGGAACTTACGACATTTCGAATATAAATAGCGTCCGAGAAACGATGCTATATATTTAGATAAACATGCATATTTAGTATTATTAGCATATTAACGTATTTTAGTATTACTGCAAGGTTGACAACTCTCCTTAAAGACGCTAGTTCATGCCCAATTAAATCGTTTAAGAATCGAAAAGTAAACTATTTGTTTGAAAACAAAAGTTATGGAATTAAGTTTTTTGCTGATCGTCATATGAAGATTTAAAACAATCATTTGTTCGCTATATACTGTATATATGTTTGCGTATACGAAAATTGATTTGCTAAATATTATCACACATTTTTATGGTTGCTGCATTCTAGGTAAGAATCTAGGCTTGATGTAATCGATTTCATAGAGAACATATTTTTACAAACTATCGTAATTTTAAGCTAGTACGAATAGAAGAGAATGTTTAGCAAATCGGTCAAATGTTGATACAAGTGTTACATGCTAACGATGCGGAACGCACGTGGGGTATGTCAGCCTTCACATGCGGAAGTGAAAGTCAATACTTCACGGAATATAATTTTCTTCATTGATTCTCCCAAGCACGCTTTCAAGATTTTCTTTTGACCGACTCGACTGAGGACCGTGTATCTGCAGTCGGTGAAGTGATTTTCATCTCAAACGCTATTCCATTTGTCGATAACACGCACGCGATCTGAAGAAATTTTAACAAAGCCACGCTAAGCGACTAGAATCGCTATTAATTAAAATTTTTTAATATTACTAAATATTAAGTTTTAACACATTACTTATATAAGCTAAAGTTAATATTAATCATCAGAAAGAAGTTGGACAATGGACGCGTGGACCACGTTTCTTATTTTTGCAATTTTCTGGTTAAATAGAAATAGAAGAAATTTTATTTTACATTTGAAAGTATTTATTCAATTTTTAACAATTTATTCTGTAAAAATAAATTAATTTATACAGGCCCTTCATTATTTCTGTCAATTTTTGTAATATATAGTAACCTATATATATATATATTGTCAGTGTGTGTGATGTTCTGCTTTTTTACCTGAAAATTCATTTTTTCATATAAATTATTGTATGCGTATATTTATATATACAATTTTTGTCAATATTGCAATAAATTATTGTTATAGTAGATTACAGTATAATAATATCATTTACGATATTTTATTTAAAATCAATAAAAATATGTATAAAGGACTCTTGTTAGTAAATAAATTTCAAAGTGAATAAAGGGCACTTATGCCTATATTGACTCTTAAGTCAAAAATTAAAATAATTTTAAATGTCAAAATTTATAATATATTACGAAGATAAAAAATAGAAAAAAGATTTTGATTGGAACAATGTTTTAATTTTGGATGAAGAACCTTGTTATGGAAAAAGATTAATTTCTGAAATGGTTAATATTAAAAAACAAAAGAATAGTTTAAATTTACAAACAGACACTATAGGCCTTCACAATTCCTATACACCAATAATAAACAGAATTTGACTTTGTATCACCGATTCCAGTCGAAAATTAACCGCTGTTCAGTTCCACGATTGTCTCTCGTAATGTGCACACTTATTTATATACATTTGACTCTTCCGTATGGAAGAAATCATTTTTAATATTAGACACACTTATTGACTTGTTTTTATATACATATATATACGAATTCTCTGGTAAGTTATAACTTTATACATATAGTGGTCTAATACAATTTTTTATCACATAGTGTTCTCATTTTTTGAATTTTTATAGTTGAACTAATGAAGATGAAGGGTTACATTCAGTCGACCAACTGCATGAGAACAATTGATCATTCAAAGTTTGATTCATCGGAGAACTCCTAACTTAAATATCCACTGCGAATCTATTTTGTATTTTTTATATGAGGAAAATCTGAGGATGGCTCGATATTGAAGCCGAAACATGTAATGTAATGTAATGTAATTATTTAAATGTCAACATATCTTGTATAAAAACATAATGTTAACAACATCTTTTTTCTATTTTTTATCTTCGTAATATATTATAAATTTTCACATTTAAGATTATTTTAATTTTTGACTCTTTTGCCTTTTTTATTTACTTTGAAATTTATTTATTTAAAATCGTTGTAAATTCATATAATTTTTAATATACCTATCATTAACGAGCATTTCACGTATTGTTAATTTGTATGTTGATTTTATACAACAACATGCTACAATAATAATTTATTATAGCTTTAAAAACATATTTTATAATTAGAATTTCGATGACATTCTTCTGCTCTTTTTGTCGAATCGATTCGCAAGTCAGGATGGCCGAGCGGTCTAAGGCGCTGCGTTCAGGTCGCAGTCCACTCTGTGGGCGTGGGTTCGAATCCCACTTCTGACAAATTTTTTTTATGTCATTGCAGCAGTGAGAACACTAGTTGTTTTGCAATTGTTATTTGCAATGAAAAATCTTATATTATTATACTTATCTGTATTAATTTATGTATAAATTAAATTAAAAACTTTTAGTTGTCTTATGTCAGTAATTAAACTCATTTAATCTGTATGTATTTATTTCTGATTACAAGATACATAGATAACTTATAGTTTTAACAAATCGAATAAAAAGGGGCAAAGAGCCGATAATATAACAAAACTATACCTTTAATTCAAATAATAATATATAGCTACAGTTCAACTTAGACATTTCGACTCTGATCGGGTCATTTTCAATGTTACAAATATTTAATACAGATACATTCGTTATACAAGATTCGTTATCCTATAAAAATTAATCAGTTCGTGTTCTTCATGCTTTGAGTCAATAAGATGAAAATTCAAAAATCAGATTGTGTAAAACTTGGTATTCTAAAAAATCGTGAACAAATTTAAACCTTATTATTCTTTAAAAAAAATATAATTGTGAGAAAAAGGAAATATACAGTTTGATTTTTGAATTTTCATGTTATTGACTCAAAGCATGAAGAACACGAACTGGTTAATTTTTGTAGGACAACAAATCTTGTATAACGAATGTATCTGTATTAAATATTTGTAATATTAAAAATGACCCGATCAGAGTCGAAACGTCTGTGTTGAACTGTACATATTATTTGTATTAAAGGTTTGGTTTTGTTATATTATCGGCTCTTTGCCTCTTTTTATTTAATTTGTTTTATACTTATAGAGCCTTATATTAGTATTTTTATAGTTTTCGTGTATTATTTAAAACAATTTGTAGTTTACTTCAGTTAGCAATGATCAATTAATTTTACGATCATTACTACGATTGTTTGTGTTGAGGTCTTTATCGAATTTATCGACCATATCAAGACGTAAGAAAGAACCAACAATAGATCGAGCCGTGGATGCAGCTCTGCCAAGTCCACCCATGGAGCTTGCGCTGCTGTTGTTACTCTTGGAAATTTTAACGGGTTTTGTTACTTCAAAGATGTTTACGGCAAATTTCAACTCGGCAATTAGTGCTTCCCACGGTGTGATCTGTATGAAAAATAATTAAGTTTCTGTTTAGTTCTTATCAACAATAATATCAATGCAGTTTAGTCCTTATTGACAATAATGTCAATGCAGTAACTAACTTATTAAATTTAATGTTAGCATATTGATAATACATAGTTAAAATTCGCATACTGTGTATTTTGTTTCACAATTTAATTTACGATAAAAAGAAACAATTTTTATCTTATACATTTTTCTTTGTTAAAAGAAAGAAAATTAATTTAATTTTTTTATTTGTAATATTTATTCTAAAATTAATAATAAATACATAAAATGTGAAAATTTACCCTTTCAGTCACAGCGACTTTACGTATATTCCACAGAAATTCGCAAATTGCGATAAAGAATGAAGCGCCGCAACCACACATCAAAACGAAGAATGCACCACCGACGCTTGCCAATCCTAATTCGCTTGTGCTTGCACTTTTTTCCGTTTCATCCTTTATGCACAAACCTCCTCCAATTTTTTGCCACCATTTTTTTTTCAATTCTTGCAATTCGCCTTTCTCTGCCAGTTTCAGGATTGCACGATCAATCGGTGTTCTATATGGAGAATCTACGGAAGAGATGCAAGAGAAATGATTTATATAAGATAAAGAAATAGGAGAATTTATTGGATGTATACAGAGAAGTTGTAATATTACTGCGCGGCATAGCTATGCCATAGCCCTTATTATCGATCAGACCGCCTATTTTAATAATATCACAATTGCGTTCCATTTTGTACTCGATAGTAGTCGATTCCATAAGGAAGGCATACTGTCGTTTGCCCTTGATAACTCGGTCGACACCTGGAACATATCGCAATAGACAGTTTAAGAGAATCTAAGTGAAAAAAAATTTGTTTTTTCGAATAACGTAGCTGTTTTAAAAAGAAGAAAGATTCTTCTACGCATATCTGATTTTGGAATTGTTCACCTTCGTCATTACTTGATGTGAATACGCCTGGCCTGGAGTCTACCATTGTAGCCCACATTCGTTTGTACGTTGAATAGTTTGAATCCTGCAATTGGATATTGAATTATCTATATGTTATTTTTTTATATTGAGCTAAATATCAATAAATGAGCTGCTAACGAACCTTAAAAAATGTTGATGTCGACCCACCCTCTAAAGCACCGTATTTGATTTTTGTTTGCTTAGCTAAATCTTCAACACCTTTAATAGGCGCGTCCATTTTGTCCACTGTGAGATAGGCAGCTAGATTCGCTGTATATGAGCTGATCATAATTAATGTAAAGAACCACCACATACTTGCAAGCATACGTAGAGACGGCGCTCTATAATGAAAGTGATTTTGTTTTATAGTATATTGTAAACTAATAATATACAAAAAACTATAATATATAGTTTAAATCGTCGAAAGAGCAAATCTAATTATTTGATAATATAATTACAATAGTAAAATAGACAAATTTAATATAGATCAAGTCACTCGTTAAAATATTTATATGCCACATATTTGAAATACGTAAAATACATAAAATAACATTAAAAAATTAATCTTTGATTAAAAAATAATTTCTTTAATGTTTAAAATATGTTTATTAATCATAATATAATAATTGTGAATATTACATTATTATTGAACTTACTTAGGTAAAATATCCGACCCTTGTTGCATAAGAGAACCAATAGTGAGCCAAAACGAATTTTTAAAATTGAAATTGTTCTCAAGTTCTTCAGGATCGGCATTGCAAGGATGCGGATTGTCCCATTCATCAGGTGCCATTCTTGAGAAACAATTTGAATTTACGAAAGCAAGTTACATTTCTTTAATGGTTATATTCGCTCTACTAATTTTAGTATTAATTTGAGAAGGACAATTCTTATTATTATACATTTTAGTTAAAATTATAAGGTATTTTAGCTCTAAAAAAATTTTACCTTGCCTGAAAAAATAACATTATCGATACGACGAGATACGCAGTAGCCATATAGAACCAAACTTCCGTACTTAAAGGGAGTAAGAAGGAAAAGAAGTCTGGTATTTTCTCTTCCGGCTTGTTAAATACAATGCTTATACCTGATAAAAATAAAATTGGAATATATTGTTATTAAATTAATATATAATAAAATTTTTAATTATTGTAATATTACTTTTACAATATTTTAAGATTTTTTAATTAATTTTTTAAATCTTTTCTAGAATTTATAATAAATAACAAATTACAATGATGTTAGAATATTTTTTACATTTAAAACATTTTTTTTAATATTAAATTGTATTATTATTTACCGAGGTTCATGAACGGCAAACTAAAATCTACAGCGGATTTGCGTTCGTATGTTATGGTTAAATCACATATTGCAAGATCGGCTTCCTGAAATTTTTAAGAAATAGATCATAAGTAACAGATTACTGAAATAGATTATTGTTTGTTATCATGACAATATTATATAAGGGATCTTATCTAATAATCTGAAATATCCCCCCTCCTAAATATTTGCGCGCCAAAAATTACGTGATATTCTTCGCAATATAGAATATTAGAATAAATTATCAGATTCAGAATTTAAATTGTAATTTGATTCTTATTCGCCATTTTTAACGTATTAATTATTGTTATATAAAAGAGTCCTTTAATTCTTCAATTATTTGTTTTCAAACTGCGGGCTGTAATAACGCGGGTAGTACATTGTTAGTCTATTCATTAAGTAAAAATTAGATTTAGCATTTATAATTGCGTTTCAAGACCGAAATCCTTCGGCGCGCAAATATTTAGGAGGGGGGATATTTCAGATTATTAGAGTTGCGTTGCAAGACCGAAAATCTTTCGGCGCGCAATAATTTAAGAAGAGGGGACATTTAAAAATCAGATTATTAGATTTGCGTTGCAAGACCGACAATTGTCCGGCGCGCAATTTGGGGGGACTACATATATTAATAGAACGTTATTTCTTACCTTGGATAAATATTGCGAAGAATATTACTACGTCGACCCGCCATCAGAGGTCTATCGATATTCGCAAATTCTCGCAAGTGCTGAGACACGCGTATATCTCATTATATAGCATCTCGATTTAATAACTTACACCGGCGTTTAAGGTAGGCTTCCATTACAATACCTTACTGATGAGTCCAGTAGTGGAAGCCGGGACGAAACGCCAAAAATTACGTGATATTCTTCGCAATATAGAATATTAGAATAAATTATCAGATTCAGAATTTAAATTGTAATTTGACGCCATTTTTAACGTATTAATTATTGTTATATAAAAGAGTCCTTTAATTCTTCAATTATTTGTTAATAAGAATCATTAAAATCTAACATAAGTTAAAATAATTATGAAATTCAGTAGACATCTTAATGTATGTGATATATTAGTTCGCATTCTTTATTTTATGTTTCTGGTCAATAAAGTCAAAAGGTAGCAAAGTGATATTCTTGTCAATTGTATGAGTAAAATGTTGAACGTCCGTTAATCAAAATACGAAGGTATTACACATCGTAACAGTGCACAAAATTATCGTTGAAATCTAAGCTAGTTTGCGGGACTAAACGTCTGATTTGAGTGATCTCAGAATCAGATATCTGAATTAAATCCGTTTTCACATAACTGGCTCTTTGTTCTTATTATATCTATATAATATTGTTTTATACTTACAGAGCTTTATTAAAGCACTTTTGCTTATATTAGTCAAGAAAATAAGGGAATAAAAATAAATTTAAGACAAATTCTTTTTTAAAGCGATATCTTTGCAAAACGTTTTACTCACACGATCTAAAATACGTCTAATTAGTCCATTCCAGGTCTTTGTTACTGGATCATATTTGCCGTGTTGTTTATCAGGTACGAGTTCAAATATTACGCCTTTAAAACGTAGAAAATCTGCGATATAATGAATCAGATCGATACAATAACCTTCGTAGCGTTTTTGATCGATTAATTCTCCGCGTGTTGAACCATCTGTTACTTCCATAATGTACGGAGGACTCTGAAAAGTTATTACATGTTTTATATATTTCTCCAAAAATATTTATATAATTTAGAGTAGAGATAGCTAAGAAAAAGAAAGAGTGAGAGAGACAAGGAGAGATAGAAAGAAAGAGAGAAAGAAGAATGCTCATAGGAAAATTATATATACTATATAATGCGAGGATTAATTGGCGTGTTAAATAATAATACGAACTACTTTTAAACTAATCGTGAATATCTTTTCTTCCATGGACTTGTATAAGTAGCTCTCTTGCTCCTTTTGAGTCCGTATGATATTTATACGAGTTGACGGTTCCCAAAAACCCGTTTGTACTATACCTGATGGTCGAAAATTTAAAATTTTTACATTAAAATCTTGTCGACGACCGTATTCGTCAATGTTCATAACGCCCGTAATCTTTCCCATTTTCGACAACTATGTAACAAAAATTCATTTTATTACTTTACTAGTTAATAAAAATTTAACATAATCATTATTAAATAAGACCACTTAAATTGTAAATATTTAAATAATTTTATTTAATTATATTCAAAAATTTGCAAATTGTTATTATTTTAATCACATTTCATAGATTTAGTATGGCATAACATTAAGGGGGAACCTGGTTTACAAACTCAAAATTTTTGATTTTTTTGTCATAAATCGATAGTAAAACTCATGAAAATATAGTTCCTGAAGTAACAAACCGAAATTCGAAGTATTTCGATAAATTTATCTGACGGAACAGGAACACTTCACGCAGGTATACGGTCGCACAGTAGGAGAGCTGGTATTCCCACGGTCTGTTTTCAGTTTCTGCCCTTGCTACTCCTGAACTAATGTACACTGGTGTAATAAGTTAGAGAGAAGTAAAATCACGGACTTAGGAATAGAGGGACGGAGCATAAAGTCCTACTTTAGGCAAGAGGGGGTTTTCTCTCAGGCATGCAGGGGGAACCGTTCTCCGCCATATTGGTTTCTGAGAACTCACACATAGACATGTGTCAGTGACATTCCGCTTGAGCTGTGTTAGTGTGACAGCTAGAAAACATAAACAAAAAAAAAGATAAACAAAAACCTAATAAAAGATTAACAAAATTTTAAACTTTATTATTCTATACTGTTTTATTTCACACCTTTCACACATACACTGTCCTATGTGTGCGATCTCAGAAACCAACATGGCGGCCACCCCCCGCCGCGAATGTGCCTCACCCCTTTAGGTTATGCACCGTCCCTCTATTCCTAAGTCCGTGAGTAAAATATACTTCTCTTGTATATGGGGCTGGTATGGCAGATTAGCATCTAATTGCTGTAAGTTTGTAATAACTATTATATAATTTTATCGTATCGAAAACTTTAAATGCGTTTTTCTCGAAACCATGTTTTTCAAGTTTTTGTAACATCTCAGAAAAAAAGTATTTGACCGATTCACTTTTTTCTAAGCTTTTTAGTTATCCAATAACCTACTATCCTCGATGAACTAAAAACGTTTTTAAAAAAATGTAACTAAACAATTGTTTTTTCATAAAGAAGTTTCGAAAATTTCTCGTAAAAATTGTAACTTTTTTTTTAAACTCATACAATTTCTTTAATTCTGTATTTGTTCTTGGTTTTCTTAATCCATTTAGGATAAAATTTCAAGATTAATAAAAAATTTTGATTCTTTATTTCAGATACGAGAATTTATCCGCTAGACATTACACAAAATAACAGCTCCAGCTGCGCGGCGGTATAAACATATTAAAATATGACAATGTAAAATAACGATTTTTTAAATAAAAAAATATATTTCTGTATTGTTTATAGATGTTATAAAACTTCCCTAAAATTTTGTATTGATCCACTTAGTAGTTGCTGAGAAAAAAAATTGCGAAAATCGTTTTTTTTTGACGTCCAAAATTAGGTTCCCTCCTTAACTTTGAAGATTTTATTTTTACAATTGTATATAAAAATATAGAAAAGTATTTATCAATTGAATAACTTTGTATATATGTACTTATATCCTTATAAGAAACTATAAATGAAAATCTCTTACCTCTCGCATAACACTTGTAATATTAGGTCCTACTTGATATTTTCTAGTACTATTAGTACAAAAAAGTGGTACAGGATCAATGGACATATATTCTTCGTTATCAATATTTCTCGCATTTAGAGTCTCTAATGCTTTATGAAACAAAAATACTGCGTCATAGAGGATCGCTGAATCTAGCTACATATACAAAAACATGATTAATTCAAATTGTCAGTTTAATTCTATATAAATATTTAATCTAAATGCAATAAGAGAATACAAACTTTTGAGATTATATCATGATTAATATATATTATATTATACTTATTACTGATAAAAAATTAAGAGATTCTTGAATAAATACCCAATCAATTCCTTCTATGGCATCATTTTCTCTCATGCTCAGTCCAGTGATATTGACGGTACCATTTCGCACTTCGAGAATAGATAATATGGATGAATCCTACGATTTCAATGGAAAGATTATTTTAAAAACTATTTACGTTATTTATTTTCTGGCAATTGGAGATACACAAGAACAATGTACAATATTATGTTTCATCTATTCTATTTAACTTTAAAAGTTTAGTTCATAGTTTTTTAAGCATCAATCTTTTCAGAATTTAAATATATAAAATGCATCATGTTGAAAAGTACCCTTTTATTATTAATAATTATTATGACAAATATACTATATTATACTATACATACTAGGTATGTGATAACAAAATTGCAATAATCTGCTAATAATCTGACTTCTTTTGCTTGATGGAGCACTTCCATGATTTTTTTCGGGTTGACATCAATAATTATATTACACACTGATAGAGAGCGTATCTCTTTAAGCATCATGCGATAATCCGGCCCTTCGTTTAACTGTCGTACCGTGTGCATAATCGGATTATCTTTATCTCCTTTTAGTGTTAAAGTCTTCTGAAGGCGCGACAGTCCCTCGTCAGTTTCGTAAATTGCTGCGAAATTTCGCCATTTCATTGATGCGATGACATCAGCGATAGCCTGCAGTTGTATTTATTTTAATAATACATTACAAAAATAAAAATAATAATTGTGTTTTTTAAATGTAACGTATCAAAATTACGATTTAACTTGCATATTATAAGTAAACTTACCCAAGTGTGAGACACTTCGATTTTGATAAATTTTTAGTTTTGTTGTTCTCCAGACAAAAATAAGCGGCACGTATTTTTTTTATACATGCACATACGTACTTTTAAGGGGTGAAACACCCCTTTGAAAAAAATTAGTTTTTCTCTTTCGAAGTGAATATCTTCGAAACTATAGTAGTAGTAGTAGTAATTAATTGCAGGTAGGCTTTATTAGCCTACTGACGCGACCTAGATCCGTGGGGTTCCTTTGTCGCTCCCTGCTTATTCCGTAGGTCATTCAGTCAAGCCCAGCCTCGTGTCACTTACCAGACTTATTAAACTGCTAACCTTCGCATTTTCAAAATCCTTGGGTGTCATAAACATATGTCCACAGGACCTGTATCTTTTACAAGCGAGTGCAGGGCATCGGCACAATAAGTGCAGGTTGTCCTCGCCTTCTTCTCCACATAGCCGGCATTCTTTCTGCTCCGCTAGTCCTAGATTGAATAGATGTGCTCTGAGGGGCAAGTGTCCTGTCAGTAGGCCTATGCCACTTCTCAGTTTAGCCTTTCCCATAGCCAGCAACTCTCTGGTTCTTGCTGGATTTGGAGATTCCATAAGTTGTTTGGCTCGTTTACAGCCCTCTGCCCCCTTCCAGGAGTGCTCCCTTCGAGTGCTCCCGTTCAAGCCACTCTTCGATCGTTTTTGTTCCTGCTGAAAATGGGACTCCGACGATCTTTTCAGCCGAGACCTTTTCGGTACCCTGCTTTACCAGCTCGTCCGCTCCCTCATTTCCAGGTATCCCCTGATGTCCAGGAACCCATACTAGGGTTACTTGGTTAGTTACCCCTAGTGTTGTGAGTGCTTGCATGCAGTCCCATACCACAGATGATTCTGTGGAGGTTCTTGCAAGTGCTTCGATAGCTGCTCTGCTATCAGTACAAATATATATTTGTTTTCTGCTTTTCCCCTTTAGCAGGAGTTCCGCACATTTCTGGATGGCCAGCACTTCAGCCTAAAACACTGTGGCCAGCTCACCCATTGGTATGCTTACCCTGTGGTTGATACTGGGCCCATAAATACCTGCCCCATATCGTCCGTTTGCTCCCGATCCATCCGTGAACCAAGTGTCTACATCTGGATTGGCTTTGTGAACATGCTTGCTCCAGTCCTCCCTAGTCGGTATTTGAACTTTGAAAGTCTTTACCAACTGATGTCTTCTGGAGATCCTGTCTTGTTTTAGATTGAAAGGGTGTTTGTCAGAAAGTCCCAGTCTTGTGTGACCGGTCCTGGTTTCCTTCCACTCACCCTGACATCTTAATCTGTATGCTGTTTGCCTGGCTGTGTATTTGATCACCTGGTTTAGGGGCGGAATACTGAGTGCTATTTGCAGCGCCTCAGTTGGTGTAGTTTTCATGGCCCCTGCTGCAGCTCTCAGGTATCCTCCCCGTAGGCTTTTGAGCAAGTTCCCTGCCTCCACCTTTTCCGCCCTCAACCACCAGACAACTGCTGCATACGTGAGTCTTGGTAACAATACCATCTTGTATAGCCATAAGGCTGTCGTGAGGTTTAGTCCCCAGTTCTTTCCCATGGCTCTTCTGCACGCCCACATAGAGGTGTAGAATTTCTTCCTCTTTTCCTCGAGGTGTGGTTTCCAGCTCAATTTGGGGTCTAATAGGACCCCCAAATATTTTACTGAATTTACATAATTTATTTCCTTTCCCCAGAGCCTTAATGTCTCAATGGGTTCCGGTTTGTATTTTCTGGTGAAGATCATGGCCGAGGTCTTTGTGGGGTTTACCATCAGTCCCCTCGTCCTACACCAGTTTTGAACAATTACCAAGGCTTCGTCCATCCGTTCCTTGAGTGTTAAGAGGAAATTACCTCTGGTGATAATGGCCACGTCGTCCGCGTATCCGTAGATTTCGAAGCCTGATTTCTTCAGTTTTGTGAGGAGTTCATCCACCACCAGGCACCACAGCAAGGGTGAGAGCACCCTTCCCTGCGGGCAGCCCGCCGCCGGCCTCCCCTCAACTGAGTTGTTGCCATGATTGACGGTCAGTCTTCTGCCCCTCAGCATGCTTTGTGTCCAGTCGATCAGTGATTCTGGAGCGTTAAATCTGTTCATGGCGTCTTTAATTGACGTATTTGAGGTGCTATCAAAAGCCCCCTCAATGTCGATGAAGACACCTATTGCATATCCTTTTGCAGCCATCTGAACTTCAACCCCGCTCACAAGATGATGTAGGGCAGTATCCGTAGATCTGCCCTCCCTATAAGGATACTGGGATAGGTTCAGCAGCAAGAAGGTAGAAGTCTTTCAGATGCCTATCAATGAGCCTCTCCAACATCTTTAAGATGAAGGATGTGAGGCTGATAGGTCTGTAGTCCTTGGCCATCACATGGCCATTTTTACCTGGTTTTGGTATAAATATCACTCTGGTGTCACTCCAGGCTTTCGGAACGTGTCTCAGTGCTATGCTAGCTCTGAGCACTCTCGTCAGGGGGCCTACTAGGGCCCTCCTACCCTCCCTGAGATGTTTCGAAACTATAAGAGATAGAAGAAATTTCCAGAATAAAAATTGAATAGCTGAAGAGTACTTTAGAAATGTAATTTAAAATTTAAATTTCTTATAAATAAATAATTTTAAAAAATGTTTTTTTATTTATAGTTCTAAAGTACACATAAAACCATTCAATTTTCATTCTAGAAAATTTTTTCTACCTCTTATAGTTTCGAAGATATTCGTTTCGAAAGAGAAAAACTGATTTTTTTCAAAGGGGTGTTTCTCTCTCTCTCTCTCTCTCTCTCTCTCTCTCTCTCTCCCCCCTCCCCTTATATAAAAAAAATACGTGCCGCTTATTTTTATCTGGAGAACAACATACTAAAAACTCATCAATATCAAAGTGTCGCTCTTGGGTAGATTTACCTTGTTAGAATCGTAGACTACGTTTGATTAGATGCAACTAAAAATTATCATACAAACCGATAAATTGAATTATTATTTGCAGTGTTAAACAGTGCTTTTTCAAATTTTATAATATACCATAGTGTGTCAACAAAAGCAATTTTTGTTGCAAAACACTTCTTTATATGTATAGTGACTGACCTGGCTGACTTGCTCACTGGCAGGGAATACATTTATGGTCATTGGTGATAAGATCTTCTTTCTTTCGTTTTCCTCTGTTAATCCTTCGTCTTTCCGCCAGACATATTCAATGTGCGGTATATCAAATCGAGCAGCAATACTCGTAACTATACCACGAGTATGCCTACTTACAGGTCCAAAAATGGCTGCCACGCCTTCCTCAAGAAGTTCGCAAGCTATATATGAAAAGTATTATCGAATATTATGTATTATAATAAATTTACAATATGTTTAAAATTAGGGGTGAACTTCCGAATGTGGCCAACGTCCGATTATTATGAAACTTGGCAGAAATACTCCAAATGACGTCAAATAAATGCCCTTAAAAGGATTTTCACCGACAAGAAAATTTAATGCTAGAAATGTTTGAATGAAGTTATGGAATTTTGTGCTTATTATTCTTAGTATACTACATGTTAAACCTTTACAAAAGGGGTTACCACCCTCCGATGACCTTGACCTTGACATATGTTGTCAAGATCATGGCCCTGAGTAACCTGCAACAGGTTTTAACCGTCGCTCGTCCTTCGTTAAACAGATATTAACAATCATAGTTTTAACGTATGCTATACATGCATGATATGAAGTATATATTCTACACCTTTCCCTGTTCAGAAACGTTGAACTTTCCACGCGAAGTAACTTTTACCCCCCCCGCACAGGGGCACACGATTTCTACGATTGTACTGTTGCTATGATAGTACTGTCGGGGCAGACCTCTGTCGACGGTGTGGGTTTGGGGGGGGGGGAAGCCGAAGGCCTTGCACCCGCCCGTGTGTGTGTGTGTGCGTGCGTGCGTGCGTGCGTGCGTGCGTGCGTGCGTGCGTGCGTGCGTGCGTGTGCGTGCGTGCGTGCATACGACTTTTATAATTATACTGTTGCACGCGGGGCGGAACTCACTATATCCACGTATACACTTTACAACGTAGAAATAAAACGTCATTCTTTAAATTTTTTTTGAGAAAAATCGCTTCACGTTGAAAGTCTAAAAGTGTACAGAATAACGTTTTATTTCTGCAACTTCATTCAAATATTTTTGGCACTAAACTTTCTTGTCGGTGAAAATCCTTTTAAGGACATTCATTTGACGTCATTTGGAGCATTTCTGCCAAGTTTCATGATAATTGGGCGTTGGCCATTTTCGGAAATTTATCCAAAATTAGAATAAATGCGTGCAATATAAAGCCTTCTTTTCAACCCGTTTTATTTTTCAATTTATACACAAATTTTAGTGACCTAAAAAAATAATCCCATTGTTTTGAATTGTTATCAACAATTGCAATTTATTTTAATTAAATAATTGTTTAATTATTTAATTAAACGGTTTAAATCGAGCTAAATAAATTTAATAATAATAATTAAATTTTTTAAATTCTACAATATAAAAATTTTACACGCAGTATAAAGTTCTTAAATTTTACAATATAAAAAACTAACAAAAAATGTCGTACGTTTGGGAACTCACAGGCTCCTTCTTCAGCGATTCTTACAGAATCTTCTGACTTATAGCTTATGATTACGTTATGACTTACCAATCAAAAAGCAGTATGTGTCTGCCATTTCTTACGAGAAAACTGATTTCGTATAACCTAAAAACTGAAATAATACATTCTTCAAGGACGAATGAGAGTACAACTTTATTCAATGATTGAGATTTACTGTGATTTGTGAGGTATGTCACTTGAATCTAAATAATAAAATTGGTATTAATTTTTATAATGATTGGTACATGTTACTCTTTAACAGATTATAACATCTTTTCTGCCAATTTGATGTGATGTGTCTCACAAATATTATTTTAATATATTTTATTTTGGAAATGTACTGAAGATGACTCGATATGAGTCGAAACGTATATATTATGATCCATTATTGAATAAATAATATTTTCTATTTAATTCAATAATAAGAGTTATTATTTATTGCGTATCAAGAGCAACGCTGCACTCTCATTCGCCCTTGAAGAATGTATTATTTTTGAACCATAAGAGTCCGTTGAAGAAGGTCTCATATTGTTAAAATATTTTCTAAAAACTGAATCGAGAATATTTTGATCGAAGTGATTTATATCGTATTAAAAATGGAATATGAATGTATACAAGAAATGTATGACATGGAACTCATCAAACTTGTCGAATTTAATTGTTGAATCTAATTGCTGAACTGTTATGATGCAACGATCTAATACGACTTATTGTAGATGCAAATTCCTTAAGATTTATGACTTATAATTGTGACTTAACACTTATGTGAGTTGTGACTTATGGCTTATTGTAGAAGGCCCATTACGGTTACGGTTACGGACGTTACGTTACGTATATTACGTGCCTATTGTAGATGACCTTTACGCATGAAACGCGTATATTGCATTACTGGTGCGTAACGCTTTGAAATCGTTCCGTTTAGTCAATGCGCATGAAGCGCTTTAGTTATTCGGAACGATTTCCTATGATTCTATGCGAGTTCAAGATAGACGCTATACAAGACGTAATAAACAATTTCCAATAATTGTAATTTCTTCTTTAATACTTTTAATAGGCCTTCTACAATAAGCAATTACCTAAGTTTTAAGTATTAAATCATAAGAAATTGACCACTCACAGTCGATTATTCTTCTCACATTCGATTGTGATTGGTAAATTTCTTAAGATTTAACACTTAAAACTTAAGTAATGGTTTATTGTAGAAAGCCCATAAAGAAAAATGATGAATGTTCCGATGACAGTTCCGACTCGGCGATAGTGAAAATGAAGTCGAAGGCATATCTTTTAAGTGATATGCAGAACATAATTAAGTATAGAAAAAGGACAATAATAGTCAAGTAATAAAATGAAACAAAATGAAGCGGTTAAACGTTAAGTATGTAATAAATTTTGAAAAAAAATGCTTCGAACTAAAACTTAAATTACAAATAATAATAAAACAATATATTTAAACGCTTATAACATAGATTTGAAATTACGCAACCAGTTTCGACTCTTGGTTTGAGATGTATGCTGGTCTATTTTATGTTATAATTACAGATATATTGGTCAGTATACGATTTTCCTTTATTACCAATAGTATTTATTTAATGGGAGAAATCGAAAAGTTAATATTTGATTAAATTAAACTACATATTAGAATTTTGAAGACGCCTGAAGATGACTCAAACCAATTAGAGTCGAAACTGGTTGCGTAATTTCAAATCTATGTTATAAGCGTTTAAATATATTGTTTTATTTGTAATTTAAGTTTTAGTTCGATATATTTTTTTCAAAATTTTTATTACATACTTAACGTTTAACCGTTTTATTATTTTCATTTTATTACTTGACCCTTATCGTCCTTTTTCTATACTTAATTATATGTTTACATAAAGAGTCCTTTGTTTTTCTAATTTATTTGATATGCAGAAGTTATTTTTTCTATTAATGGTAGATAAATTACGTGGAAAACAAATTGGAGTTGAAAAAATTATAGATTACGTCGATCGCGTATAATTCCTAATCAATATAACGTCTAATCTATACATTAAATAAATCAAGTTAAAATAATGCCATTAATTTTATCTTGGCTTACTTTCGCCATATCCTCTTCATTTATTATAAAGTATTCATTTTTAAAGTTCATTTAAAAATAAAGTTAATACTTCATTTTTATCCTCTAATAAGACCGGGAAATCATGCAATTGCTGTAATCGCTGTTCCATCGCAAATCGCAAATATTCGTCCGTTCACTGTTGTATTGTCCGGTACTCGTTGCTCGTTCCGAATTACAAATCATGCGCATAGACCGCATGAACGCATCAGATGCATCAACTGCCTCAGGTCAAAAGAGAAGCAGTCAATGCGCTGAGTGGAGTGCTAAGAATTCAGTACGGTTAGTACAATCTGGGGAATTCAAGTACTCTTGAAGCGCTTTCGAAGCGCGCAAGAAGACTAGAACCAGGAGAGTGAACTAACGTGGTGGGGGTAGGTTAGGTTAGGTTAATACGCAGTGGCATTGCAAGTTTGCGCATGTGCGCGTCGGTTATAACCAAGAAGTCTTGTTCTTAACCTTTGCGTTATCAAGAAGTCTTCTTGGCGTTATATAGCCCAAAACTGTTATATATACATACAAAGTCAGACAACATTATTAAATCACATTTTTACGTACCTCACAAAATTTGAATACTGTTCTTCGATTTTCTTTATCTTGATTGAAACAATTCCGAACACAGCACACTCGCTCGGTCATCGTAAGTCACATAGGATTAATTTTTTACACGTTTTAGCTTTAGTCTTCTTGAGTCCAAAATTCAATCAAACAGAAACAAGATTTGTTTGACATGCGCAGTCATGAATTGAAAACGACTATCAGAGCGACAGAGAGGACTAATGAAGCGCAAGAGTGGGGGAAGTTATCCGCCGTCACTTTTTGGCCTACCCCCTCTACCGATATTTGACCGAGTTCACTCTCCTGTAGGCCTATTCTGTAACTTTTTAATGACAATTTTACTAGCTAGTGATGTCGTTGCGCAGATATTTTACATGGTATAAAACCTGCGCATCGACAGTATAACGATACCGAATTGTCGTTACAAGCTACAGAATAGGCCCACTGGTTCTAGTCTTCTTGGAAGCGCGCAATAGTTAATTTGGAACGACTTTCTATGCAGTCTACGCGCTTCATGCGTAACTCGGAACGCACCCTCAGTGAGTATGTTTGATTATATAATTATGCTTTGTGGTCTCTTGTTCATATAGATAATATAGATGTTTAGAAGGCGATTTGTTTCCTTACTAAGCGGAGAGCTTAAACTCACTTGTTTTACTTATTTACATTATGTGATTTTAAGTTACACGAAGAGATGACTTAACTGGGGTAGTGCTCCAGATCTAAATAAAACTAATGTTCCAAAATAAATAAACAGATAAGATTGCGAAGGCGACTAGAACTAGAGCTTAAAAGGGAAGCTCGGAACGTTTACAGGTTGTTGTTTATGCGTGATAACGTTAACAGAATAATGTCTATCTATAAGGAGTCATGAATATATGAATACAAAGCAAAAGTCTTAAATTAAGTGATGTGTATATATATATATATATATATATATAACTGTGAGGAAATAAGAACCCAGTATCCGAGAATGGATTGGATTTTGTCTATTCGAATTTGTATTTTAAATAGCAAATAATTTTTTGTGGATTCAATTGAATTCAATTAGATTCAATTAGATACAACTGGATTGAAAAACTGCGTTTCCTATTCAAAACTATGAATTGAACAGTATTCACTATGGTCACAAACGCACTGAAAAAGCTAATATTATTTTATGATTGAAAAGTATACAGATATGCTCCATGCAATTCCTATAAATGAATAAAAACGTATTCGGATTGAAAAGTATACAGATATGCTCCATGCAATTTCTAAAAATAATAAAAACGTATTCGGATTGAAAAGGATTCATTTTAACATTCATGAATCCGTATTTCTGAAAATTTGAATCCATTTTAATCCATTTTAATCCATTCTCGGATACTGGGAAGCACTAAATTAAGGAAGTAATATTGAATTACTAAACTCTTCTGAATTAATAATTGATCGATTATAAAAACGTAAACTATTTCCGCGAACTATTACTTCGAGCACGTTCCCGCGAATTATTTCGCGAATGGCGATATTTATGCTTATACTTTAACATTTCCGAATTAGGAAACACAAAATGTAAATGTAAACAAAACTGTACGCAACAAAAACACAATGACGTGCAGACGTGCCGAGGAACTACAGAAAACCGGTGGCGCTTAGTGGCGCCTGCACCGCCATCGTCAGTTTTATCATCATTCTAAAACTGTTGGTAATACGCGTAGCAGAGACGCTACTACATTATCCATACAGACAAGGCCACAAAGCATAATAATTGGTTTACTACGTACTTACCAGCTATAGCAGTCTTAAAACTATCAGTATTAACATCGATGTACTTAATGACAGGGATAAGCTCGAATGCGGGTGCAAGATTATCGTATTTTGTATCAAAGATTGCTTTATTAAATGTAGAGTTAAGATCTTCATCGCCTTTGTGAAAGATTGCTCCTAAAAAATATATTAGTAAGTATAATAAAAAATTTATAAAATATTTGACGTTGTTAGATTAGTGTGTAAAATATGTATATTTAGTACAAAATTTAAAGAATTTGTACATGATTATACTTACATATTATATAATAAAAAAAACTCTAACGTAAAAAATTTTAAAAATAAAAATAAAATTCTTTTTAAATAAATTATTATAATATTTTTTTTTAAAGTATAAATATAAAATTTGGCATGTAATTGCGTAATGAGAAATCTAGTTAACATTGTGCTTTATAATTAATGAATAAATTTGTAGTCAGTGATAATTAACTGAAGTAAAAAGATTAATATATAATCGCCAGGGTTGGGTAGTGCTAAATTAAAAAGTTAAAAGTTAAGTTAAAAAGTTAATTAATTTTAACTTAACTTAGTTACATTTTAGACTCCTAACCTTTTAACTTCATTTAGTTACATTTTATCGGTAACTAATAACTTTTTATTAATTTTTTTAAAGTGTCAGACACAATACGAGCCACAGGTAACCAAAGATACGAATTCTGGCTCTTTATTGTTCACAAGCGGACACGAGTTTGCATCACTGGTTCTAACTTGCAGGACTTGCAGCTTGCAGTAGCTTATAGTCACTTGTAGTTTGCTGCTGCATTTATTCGGTTCGAATAATAAGAGTTTGAGGTTTTGTGCAAAAACGCAATGAGTGTTGACTTTGATAATAGATAGAATATATGTATACATATATATATAAAACAGAGTGTGTATATGTGTATATAT